ACCTGATAATGCTTGATAGGTATCCCGCAAGATCTGCAACTCGTGTTCATTCCAGCCAGGTTCAAGCGCGGAACGGAACGCTTGCTTCGTGCGTGGAATGGCCTTCGACATATGATAGCCAGTTTCGGATACATCTTCATGCACTGCTTCGTCCGGTTCAAGTGTAGGATTCTCATCAGTATCAAAATACTGCGAGTTTTGACTCTCTAGCGGACGTCCACTGAGCTTGTTCCCAAGGTTACGGTTAGATACAAACCAGGAACGGAGAGGTTGCCAGCCGCGACGCAAGTACCCAACATTCACACTCCCCTCTGATGCCTTGCAACGGCGACTCAACAAACCTGCCGTCAGCGAACGAAGCGGCATGGCCCATAATGTCTTATGCAATACCAAAAGTCCCTCCAGCTAGTGCGCCTAGCGCCTCACACGCTCGAATAGAGTGAAGCCTCAGCACTCGCGCGAACGTAGCAAAACCATCCACAGTTCGCTCTTCGCGTGTCCCCGGTAGCCCGAAGACTCTCGACAATTGGAGACGATTCGTGAAGTGCTTGCTGGGTGCTGAACGTGGCTTTCGCAAGCGCGCGGTGGTCCGATGATGGATGCGCGCTCAGGCTGGTGTTTAGAACTAGTAGAACTTAAAGAGTGTGATAACCTCGATGAACGAGTATGTCGATGCCCGCGTGCGATGATGACTTAGGAAATTAAGTGAGCTCGTGGAATTACCTAAGGCGAGATAGGAGGCTAATGGTGGAGACAGTTTTCCACGCTAAATATCTTGGCCAAAAGCTGTACGGTGAAATGAGTTTCGAGTCTTTTGAAGCCGACACATATCATCGGTGTCTTATGATCGAGGGTTGCTCAAGTTGCGGGCTGTTCAAAGCCCAACATCCATCAGAAGTTACCAGAACAGAGAGCATGTACATGTCAAGCCACTAAGTAGCATCTCGAAGGTAGGCCAGAGATGATGCTCCAGCAACACAGTCTTCATTGGGACTTTTGGTCGGCAGCATGTACCTCGCCATGCTATCAAATGCCTTATATTGTTCCGAAATGGAATGGAATGGGCACACTATACGGGTCAAACTATCAAAGTGTCTTGTTGTTGTCGTTCTGCAACAATGAACAAGGAGAATGTCTGCATTCATCCGGTACAAAGGACAGACCTCGAATTTCTCAAGGATGTCCGGAGTTGTAAAGCAGCTAGGTAAGCGACGCATCCGGCGAACAATGAAGATGACCATCGACTTCCCTCTCCATGCGTCTAGCATGGCATGAGGGGACCACGTAAAATAGTTTACTAATACATTCGAGCTTCGTTGAATCCTTTCAAGCCTGACGCGACGTGGTGCTCACCTTTACAGCAGCTACTTATGTACTATGGCCAGCACAGGTCAAACTCAGCCATCTGCAGTGCAATCGAACGTCACTACTCGGTCAACACGCAAAACAGGCACGCTTGCTGATGGTCGTCCAGCTCATGATACTGGTGCACTCCTAACGGGACTTCCCAACACCAGTGTGCGTGGTACCCGAGGGAAAAAGAGAACTTCAGCTGCGCTGGACACCAACAACAGCGGCCTGACCTACGCTCAGAAGAGGCAGAAATCTCAGCATCGCACGTCCAAGGACACAACCAAGCAGACTGTAGAGTCGAAAGCCGTGTCGGACCACAATGCGTCGAGGTCACCCGACAAATCCAAGCTGAATCCTGATCCAGATTCCGTACATAGTTCCAAGCAGCAGCACAAAAACGATGAGTCTGATGGTGGAGAACAAGCGGGGACTGATTCGGAGTATATACTTGCAGCGCCTAACCTCGCTGGTCTAGCAGTTGAATTACGACAAAAGATCATGGGTCATCTCCTCGTCTACGATGAACCGTTGCTCGACATTCCCTTGGCGCTTGCTCCTGAAGGTCTGCACAATGACCCTAATACCTTTACTCGCGACTTCATCTGGCTGGATAACGGCAAATTCGGGCCTGGATGGCGTAGTTACTGCCGCTTCAAGCTCTATCCAGAGATTCTTGCTGTTTGCAAGCGTTTCAACCAGGAAGGTACGCCACTGCTATATGGCAAGAATACTATCGGAGCCTGTGTACTAGTAAACTTTCAGAGAGCTCAACATCCTTACACTTACCGGCATATGTCTTACTGTATGGGAGTTGAAGGCGGCATCGAAGCTGCCCTTCGGAGATACCCCTCTCTACTGAACATCAATAGTTGGGATTACAGAATATATCTCGGACCAGGCGACGACAACGATCGAGCAGACATGTGGTACAGTGAACGGCTTCACAGCGACTTGGAGCAATTGCAGAGAATATGCCGCCGACGTGGTGGCCTACGAGGTCTCTCTATGAGGCTGATCGATACCGCAGCAGACAGACCTCATCATACCGATCGGCCATTCGAATTGCTTATGCCCTTCCATGTACTCAAATGCAACAAATTCTCTGTTCAGAGTGAGCCGGCACCAAACATGTTGCCCAGCAGAGTAGTCGAAACCCTGACCCAGTACACCAAACTTCGGCAGAGTCGTCCCATGCAAGAGATGTTGAATAGCATATTGTCTATTTACAACGGGTACAGAAATGAGTTCAGGAGGTGTTCTTCCTGCCACGCAGAAGAGAGCGGTCACGGGAATGGTCTTAGAAACGTTGACGGAAGCCTGTCGGTACCATTCGAGTGGCTTCCTGAAGATGAAACCTATGAACCCGAGAATCGTGCACTTGAGATTCTCCGTAGTTGGCAAGTTGACGAGTTCTACGCAACTACCAAGGCATTTGCACAGACTATGCTTGATCTTGGGGAAGACTGGATGGAGTGTTGCGAGCACGCGGTTGCCGATGACAAGCCGTACTGGTGGCTACGGAACGAGAATATGTTGAAGTGTTTGAGACGCAGTGTGCACGGATGGCTGTCAGAATGCCCCGAGCCGGAGTAAATTGGGAGTTTTGGATGGGATGGTAGAGGCCATCTGTGTACGCAGCATCGATCAAGGCTGAAGTATCGCCAACAGCAGCTATCTGTGACATTTGCTACCATTTCGGCGGTGAGAAGAAGCAGAAAAGCACAGACGTGTGACCTAGTGGTTCAGTTGTTATGCTGCGGCAGCTGAGGGGACGAATACTCATTCTGGCGGATGACTTACCGCCTACCTAAGTCTGCAGTCTTTTGACGTTACGGACACCTGTCTGAGGCGCAATCGAGTTAGGCGAGTATTTCTCGACCGAATGGTGGCCCCTGGGACAGTAACAAGGGGTAGCTTAGTCACGTCGTCTGGTCGTAGTAAAGACGGTGTCCATATTGGTTCATGTACTGCTAATCAAACGTCAGTGTCGACCGAGAGTGCCCAAATATGCTTGAAAAGAGCGTAGAGATTCCGCGTGGCTAGCGTGCTTAGGTAACGTGACAGAAGACTGATTGGCGAAGAACCCACTTTCAGATTTGAGCTCGCTGACACAGGTTTTGATAATCTGCCGGGTTCCTGACTTTTAGCGTTGTTTAGGCGCATGTTTTGCAGCTCGATGACTTGAGCCTTTGACATCTTGACAGGATTTGTGCCGAACATGATGGCCCGGGCTCAACGTGACAAGATGCTTCTGGATCTGCCGAACGAACTCCTTGCTTTCCGTTTCGCAGACACAGCTTCAAGACCCCACTGGTGGCGGGGTCAACAAGCTACCAGAGGGTCCTATGGCCTTGATACTTCACTAGGTGACCAAATGCTCCGGAGGGTCGAATGTTGATATAAACCTGCATATCCTGCTCTACCGTTGAGAGTTCTCTTTGCTCATCATCAGAACTCAGATATCACTCCCAACACTAATCACAGCAACAACCGCCAAAATGGTCAAGGTCGCAATCATCTACTACTCCATGTATGGCCATGTGGCCACCATGGCCAAGCAAGAGAAGAAGGGCATTGAAGCAGCTGGAGGACAAGCCGACATGTACCAGTGAGTGCCCAGCAACCACGCCTTCTTTCACAAGATCTAACAATAGCAGGATCAAAGAGACTCTCCCCCAAGAAGTGCTAAGCAAGATGCACGCACCAGGCCAGGACGAGTCTGTCCCATTCGCTACACCCGATACCCTAAAGAACTACGATGCATTCCTCTTCGGCATCCCAACGCGATATGGCAACTACTCTGCTCAATGGAAGACATACATCGATAGCCTCGGACAGCTGTGGATGTCCGGTGCTCTCCAAGGAAAATACTTTGGCGTTTTCGTCTCCACCGGCACTCCCGGCGGCGGTCAAGAAACCACAGCCATCACATCTCTGTCATCCTGGGTGCACCAGGGTATGATCTACGTGCCTCTGGGTTACAAGTACACTTTCCAGGCACTCGCCAACCTCTCTGAGGTCCGTGGTGGTTCCCCATGGGGTGCTGGTACTTTCTCGGCCGGCGACGGCTCCAGACAGCCAAGCCAGCTAGAACTTGAGCTTGCAGAGGCTCAGGGCAAGCACTTCTATGAGGTTGTCGCCAAGGTCAACTTTGCGTGACTAGATGACAATCAGAAGGCGCAGGGTGCGGAGAAGGTTGAGAAGCCTGCTACTCCTGTACAGGCAAACAGCAAACCCAGTCAAGCCATAGATACGGAGGATAAACAGGAAGAAGGCGGACCTTGTGGGTTGCCGAAGGGGTGCACGATATTATAGACCAGAAAATCCACGATTCTTCCTACTCTAGTCTTATCCGTAGTTTGATCACTGTATCCGAGTAACACTTAGGGCGCCCCCTTTAATGCTTCTTCCTCATGGGGCACGCACAAATGACAAGGACTGGCGTACAACGGCCATTGACGATGGACGCCCGAGGCCGCACCTCGTCACTTTCGAGGCCACCAGTCAAGGATTTAGGCGAGCAGGCTAGCTAACCTCCTTCTGGTTTCTGTGATCTGCAATTACTGTATAGACCATGTAACCTAAAAAGTGCGCTAAAAAGTCACACAAATTGTGTTCCTGAAATGACAGATTCTCTGAATCGATCAGTCTTTGTGGTCTAGAGGTATGTTTCATACCACTCGATCATGACGAATATTGCGTGCTAACGGCACGCTCAGGTATGATTCTCGCTTAGGGTAAACCCTGAAGCATCTTGCGAGAGGTCCCGGGTTCGACTCCCGGCAAAGAGTGTGTACTATTGGAAATCCGTACTGGTGTAACCATGCTAACTAATATGTCAGCCATTAATCAAAAATGAACATCTTTTTTTTGGTTTCAGACTTGTAGAAGTTATGTCTCATTTTTGCAGACTAGTCGGCATGATTAGACACTCATCTCAACCAAGCTCGCGAGGCGCGAACCAGGGCGGACTTCATGGTCACGGAGAGATCAGAACCTAGCTGAGTATTATTATCTCAATAGTAACATTATGTAGCCATAATCCTGTTGAAACATAGATTTCCTATCTAAAGGCGAGCTCCCAGAACACAGAAAGCATCACACGTCCACTAACATTTGGCTTGTCTACCTGAACATAGGAATACCATCACGATATTGACCCTAAATCGTTGTATTAATGCTGCTTCCAGGAGTGTTAGCTCCAAATCGTGAATCATAATACCCGAAGTCGTAGTCATACACTACATGAACTCCTCGAAGTAGAGTAGGGTCGGAGCCACGTCCCACTACTACCATCCTAACCCCCAACAGAACCGCCATGGCTCACTCAATATCCCACGGCTGATCCTCATCGTTCCTTATATACGGTACCGGTGCAGCAGGTCCATACTTCACCTGACTGATCGTCCTGCCATCACCCAAGAATGCCCATATATTGTCCGGATCTCGATACGTAAGTTCGTAGTGCTCATATCTTGGATGCCGCATGAACTTCAGATGATGCAGCAGACTACCAGGCCAGATGTACACTCGACCGTCGGGTTTGTTATCTTTGTACCAAGATTTACAGTCCTCAAACCAGATGCTGTGCTTCCGGTGCCATGCATCCATGTACAAGTTGAGTTGTGTTGTGACAGACTGCTTCGGCTCCATGCACTTGATCTGGTCTTCTTGCATCTTTCGACAGCATTGCAGGATATATACCATCTGCGACTCGTGACTTGGCAGGGCACAACCCTGGCCCCAGTTGCCTCTCGGGCCATTGATGACGAAGTAGTTCGGGAAGCCTGGCGCTGCTATTGAGGCATACACGTTTGGTTCTTTCTGATCCTGCATCACCTGACCTTCTGTGCCGGTGATCTTGTAATGTGGGAGGTACTGCACGTGAAACCCCGTAGCGCAAGCGAGGATATCGACTTCGTGGAGGATGCCGTCTGTGGTCTGGACGCCATTGGGTGTTATCTTCGAGATCCCCTCGAAGACACAATTCACGTTTGGCAGAATCAAAGCTTCTAGGTAGCCCTCACCTGGCGTTAGACGCCTGCATCCAGGGCTCCAGTCAGGAATGAAATGTTTCTTGAGGTCCTCTCGATCACCAAGACGCGCAGCCATGGAGTCCTGCATGTACTTTTTCGCAGCCAGATTGAGCTCGCTACCCCTGTAGAACGAATCCCATCCGCCTACAATAGACATTTCCACTTTTGTCACATAGTCCAGGTGATACTCTGGGTCGTCTCGAAATCGCTGCTTCTCCTTCTCGGTATACGAGTGTTTCCCAGCCGCTTGTGGGTCCTGTGAATCTGGGTCTGCTTCCTTGTTTGAAACGTTCGCACCAAATTGTGGCGCAATATATGTTCTGTTCCGCATGAAGACGGTTAAGGAAGTTGCTGTTTTGGCGATATGAGGTACCATCTGAATCGAGGAGGACCCTGTACCGATGACAGCCACTTTCTTGTCTTTCCAGTCCAGGTCTTGCGGCCAATTGGCCGAATGAGCAATCTGGCCTTTGAAGTCATGCAAACCTTCGATATCGGGCCATTTCCACTTCGTTAGGACACCAGATCCGTTGATGAGCACATTGCATGTATCAGTGAATGTGCTGCCGTCCTTCTTCCGCAGCTCAACCTCCCATTTGCCCGATAGTTGATCCCATGTCGCGCTGACGACTTCAGTGTTCAGCACTACAAATGGCTCCAGATCGTGCTTCTTGTAGAAGTTCATCATGTAATCCTGGATCTCCGGCGCATAGGAATAGTATCCACTCCATTCTGGATTCCGATCAAATGGGAAGGTGTATGTGTGTGCTGGAATCTGTTCAGGAACATGTTCAGCTACCGGTGTCTGAAGAGGCTCCATCTCCGCTTTGACTTACATCGCAAGCACAACCAGGATATCTGTTCTCATACCAAGTCCCTCCAATCACTTCGTTCTTTTCGTAGCAGACGAGTTCGTAGTTCTTGAGCATCTTGCGCGCTTTGTGAGCAGCGAGGAGGCCGCTGGCACCCATGCCGACCTACAGATGTAAGGGGTGTTCACAAAGCGTAAAGTAAATACTGACATGGATGATTCGGATCGGGTCAGGATCGCACATGGGCCTGTGTGGCACGAAGAAGTTTTGATCTTCCACATGAGGCATCGTGAGAGTTCAGCCTATGGATACCGTTGAAAGGGCAATAATATAGAGGCTTGGGATTTTAATAAAAGGGTAGTGCTTGACCAAACTTGTCGTAAACCAGCTCAGAGCTTGCTTCTTGTCCGCAAAGCATAGATGGTTCAGTGGCCTTATATGCCCGGAGCTGCCGCGTTGGCATGCAGACTTACCGAGGCTTGCCATATGAGCACGACCGAATTTGGAGAAAATCAGCAGCACCGACTCACAGCCTCAAGCTCCTCATGTGTTCGCATAGCATCTTCATCAGGTGGTGTATTGATAACACCTAACGTCCCCTTGGCTGTCAGCGAATTATGCACGTCCCATAGGTCGCGCTAAGCAGGCGTCTGCCCATGGCTCGCGGGCACAAGACGGGCGATGAGACGGAACGAGAGCAATTCGAGTCCCTCACGAAACAGACGGCACGTTCAACAACATTGCTAAAGCGAAAAGGGTACGCAAACGAAGAAGAGAATCTCCAGTAAGCAGTAAAAGACTGACAGGATCCGTGCTGGTTCCGTGCGGACGCCTCGACGCGTCTCATGCACTTAACTGTGGTCTGCGTAACCGTAGCACGCGTCGAGCTCCACTAGTAGTAGCTCCAAGCGAAACATCAAGCTGGCCGATCTTCATGGCCTCAGAGTAAGCAAGGAGCTCGGAAGAACCGTCTTGAGGTAGCAGTTTTATTCTCAGAGGCCTTGATCACAGAGACATGAGACGTTCATCTCATGTCCTCGAAGGACAACAGTCCTGCAATCAAGTCAAGTGCACACAGGGGACTTGCGAGTCCTGTTCATATTTTGGCCAGAGACCAGCAGAAGCGTGTCCGACCATATCTCAACCGCCTTCTGGTGGAATCAGCGTGATGGACGACTCTCATACCACTTTGCCGAATTCCGGCGTTGTAAGGATCGCATGCACAGTGGCTCACATGGCGGTGTCTGCCGTCCCTACGATTATGCATTGCCATCCGAAATGACCACCGCTGCGCGTCACACTGAGGCAAAGGTAGTATCAGGAGGCAATGACGCTGCTGGATGGTGTTGACCACTTCGAACAGTCACCATGTTCACAGTCCTGCAGACCAGAGACTTGGAGGTCAGCTTAAGGTCCTCTATCAAGGTACCTGAAGGCTCCACCCTAAGCCAAGCATGCCTCAGGTCCCGAACTAATCATACAACGAGTACCTTTCTGAGTCCAGTGAGTACCTTAATGCATACAGGGAAAGGCTAGAACCATGTATCTGAGTTAGCATGACCACAGTGAGTTCATCCGGTCCTCATATGTATCCCAACCAGACAGCACTCTCCAGAACCCCATTTGAGGCCCTTCAATGATGCTCTACGACGTTGCAATCATTGGTGCTGGGCCCTGTGGCCTAGCGACAGCAGCTCGACTACGGGAGAAGACGCCTTCGGCACTCTTCACTCATGACGAACATGCCCGGTATTGGAAGAAGCATAAGCAACAAGCAAATTCACTCGAACAGGAGCACAAGAGGAGAAAGAGATCAACCGACTCTGGATACAGCAGCGGTGCCGAAGAGCTGAAGAGAGACACCGAAGTTCGACCTTCTATAGTTGTCCTAGACGCCGGCTCAGATGGCTGGATAGCGACCTGGAAGCAGCGCTTCAGCAACCTCAATATTCCGCATCTCAGGAGCCCGTTGTTCTTCCACCCTGATCCAGGCGACAGAGATGGCCTACTGGCTTTTGCGCACGAACAAGGCCGGGTAGATGAGCTTCGAGAAATTACAAATGTGGTTGGCAAAGAACTCAGCAAACACGAGAAGAAGCGGCAGCACAGCCGGAAGAAGGCACGAACAACTGCACGTCACCTTCGGATCGATGGAAGAGATCAGATAGACTACTATACGCCGTCCACAGGGCTATTCGAGGACTACTGTGACGTTCTCATCAAGCGGTATCGTCTGCAGGGTCTTGTTCAGCAAGCTAAAGTAGCGGATATTGTCTACGATCCGGAGCCTGAAGATCTCAAGCACGGTTTGTTTACTATCAGCACTTCCACCAATGGAACTTTTCTCAGTCGCATCGTCGTGGTAGCTACCGGCGCCTCAGCGGCTCCGTCAGTCCCCAACCTACATCAACTTCCGCTTCCTAGCCAGCAAAACGGCAGCATAACACATGTCTTTACCCCACATGGCACCGGTCTACCACCACACATCCACCACAAACTCCAGACCAACCCTAGCAAGCCCATCAATATCATCATAGTCGGAGGCGGTCTAACCTCAGCTCAACTAGCCCACCTCTTCCTCATGCACCACCAGTCAGTACACGTTCACCTGCTCCTACGCCACTCCAAACTGAAATGCAAGCCTTTCGATGTCGATCTTTCGTGGGTCAGCAAAACACGCAATCACCTCATGTCCACATACTGGTCGGTTGATACAGACGAAGAACGCTTGGCTATGCTGCGGGAAGCACGCAATGGTGGAAGTATAAATCCTCCCTTCGCAAAGATCTTGCAGAAACACGTCGCAGAGCGGCGGCTGGACATACACACAAATACTGGATTACAGCTGGACAAGGGTTGTGTTTGGGATGACGGAACGAAAGTATGGACGCAGCTAAGCTTGCATCGCGCGACTGATGCATTGAACGAGGCTGACAATCCATT